CATGTGATGTCATCTGCACCCCAACCCCCAACCCCGTGGGAAAAAGGAAATGGAACCGTTTGGTGATCCCTGCGGTGACAGGTGAGGGGTGGCCCCTAGGACCCCCACAGGCAGAGTGTGATGCCAGGAGTGGCAAACTGGTGAGACTTCTGTGGGGTGGCTGCCAGGAGCAGCCCTTTGACTAGAACTCTTCCCTGGGAGGGCACCCCGGTGCAGACTCGGCACAGTCCCCTGTGTCTGAATCATACGATGCCGACAACAGCAAGGTCTGGAGAGAGACACCCACCCCAAGGGGAGAGCTGAGTCAGTGGCCTCCATCCACACACTAAACCAGCGGTTCTCAACCTGTGGGTTGCGACCCCTTGGGCGGTCGAACGACCCTTTCACAGGGGTCGCCTAAGACCACCCTGCATATCAGATATTTACATGACGATTCATAACAGTAGCAACATTACAGTGATGAAGTAGCAACGAAAATAATTTTGTGGTTGGGTCACAACAGGAGGAACTGTGTTTAAAGGGCCAGAAGGTTGAGAACCGCTGCCCTAAATGCTCCGCAGGCATGAGGAGGGGTGGGGTAGGGCTGACTGCGCGTGCTGACGAGAACCATCCCTCTGGTGTAACTACTTGAAAGCACAGACTCATCCTCAGAAGTGTACGTGTGGAAGGAATGTCTGGACGCACACGACGCAGGCCTGTTCGGAGGAATTGCCTTTGGCCAGGCAGACAGGTGGAAAACTTTGCACCCGCCCTGTCCTGCCCCGCCTTGGTTTCTCACCACGTGCACAGAGAATTTCAATGTTTAAAATGGGATCAGGAGCTGCCTGGGTGGTGGGGTTCGAGACTGATTTTGTTTTCTCCTTTAGACCTTTCTCTATCAAAAGAATCAAAATCCATGGGTTCAGATGTTGCAAAACAAAAACTCTCGCTGCCTCGGGGGAAAGTCCACGTTCCTGAACTCACGCTGACGCCTCGTGGCACCAGCCAGCCGCTGGGTCCCCTCGGGTCCCGACGCCTGGGTCCCCCACAGCCGACCCCACCCGCCTTCCACACCCCAAAGCCCTGTGCTCTCTCTCTCTCTCTCGTGCGCGCGCCTCCTGGCCTTTGCAGTTCCATGTCGTTCCATGCTGTTCCATTTACCTGAAAGGGGTGCCCATCACCCCTTCCCTTGGCTCCATTCAGCCTTCAGCTGGCCCCAGGTGCCAGCCCCGTCTTGCCCCAGTGGCCATCCCGCCCTGCCAGGCTGGCTCCTGGCACCCAGGGCTCCTGGATGCCGTCAATGGCCTTTCCACTGGCCAGTCTCCCTCCCTGCCTCACAACAGCCTGGAGGGTAACGCCAGGGCCCAGGTCACCCACGACATCTGGGGCCCAGCGCTGTGCCTGGCTCACAGGAGGCTCCACCAGCTTTTGAACTGACCATGACCCTGACCTGGAGGCACAGACAGCTGGCACCCCAGGCTCAGCCCCAGAGCCGGCCTGTGTTGGGGGGTGGGATTCCTGGGCCTGGCCCCGGACGGCAGGCCTCGGGCCTCGGAGGCAATCTGGAGGGGCAGACAGACAACGAGGCCGCGCCGCCCGCTCGGCTCCAAGGTGGCTGTTATTTCCTCTCCTGCGGGTGCCAAGTCCCTGAACAAATATTTTCCTGGAGTGGAGGAGCGGCTGAGCTCCCGCCTTGAGTGCTGGAAACACCGCCGGGTCGGGCAGGTTCCAGGAACCAGAGGGAGACGGGGTCTGGCTGCAGCCGGAGGAGGAGGGTCATTAGGGCTGCCCGCCGGCTGTGCCCACCTCCTGGCTGAGGAGGGGCCTATTCCTCCGGCCGCCAGGCCCGGGAAGCCGCGGCTGCTCCGCTCAGCACACAGTGCGCGAGGCTTTGCCCTGGGCCTCTCTGCCCATAAATTAGAATCCTCCGGGACCCTGAAGAACACGCCGGCCATGTGGGCCGCCTCGCTCATGCTGAAAACGCCGCAGCGGCGTTTAAAGGAGCTAATTAGAATCTCAGAAGGCCTTTTATAAGCTTCCCCCCCTTTAACTTTCTTATTACAGAATAACATACAGAGTGCACTCAGCGTACGGGTATAACTTGATGATTTATTTACCTATACATACACCCTGGTAATCACCGCCTCCATCTAGCCAGAGAACATTCCAGAGAACCTTTCAGAGAAGGGGCCTTCGAGTGCCTGCCCGGACAACACCACGCCCCCAGCAGAGGTTCCACGGGCTGCAATGACCATCGGTTCGTTTTGCCTCTTCCTGGACTTTATGTAAGTGGAATTGTGCAATGTGGGCTCTTTGGTGCGACCCGGAAGTTAGAGCGGCACAGAGGACCCAGTGCCTCGCCCTAGAGAAGCTTGGAGCCCATCCTAGGCGCTGAGCAGGCGTGGGACACAGCACGGACAAGGGGCGCAGCCACACTCACACCCCTGCCCCTGGAGTAGGTGCTGGGTGGGGGTGCAGTGGGGCTGGGGAGTGGGAGGAAGGAGGGAGCCAGGCAGGGCTGTGTCCATTGCCAGGCAGAGCCAGCTGAATCCCCAGCCCCGCCCCCAGCTCCTGAGCCAGGAACCCTGAGCTCACCTAGGCCCACCTTTCTTCTGCCCGCTGGAGAGGACAGCACGTGAGGGCCCTGGGCCCCTCTCTGAGGAGCAGTCCCCTACAGACCCAGGGAAAGGACTTCTCTCCCCGAGGCTGCCTAACCTGAGAGGGGGCCTGAGACACCCCCTGAGGCCCAGCTCTGGGGTGACTGCCTTCCAGCCCCCCCCTGAGGGCCAGCACAGAGGACAGCCTCCTCACAGGCCCCTTCTCCCTCGGGCTCCACTTAGTGCACCTGTGGGAGGCTCCTGCCGCCCAGTGAGGCGGGGACAAACCTCCTAGGTCCTGCCAGGTTTAGCTCCTAACATCCACTGTCGCTGGGACTCTGTCCCCCCAGCCCTCTGCACGTCCTAATTCGTCTGGCATCGCCCTTGGCTTCCGGCTCTCCCGAGGCCCCCAGAGGTTCCAGGCGAAAGGCCTGCCGCCTTCCCACCACATTCAGCCTCGTCTCTCCCCACACCCGCTTCCAGCTCACATCAGCACGCAGCCTGTTTCTGCCAAAGCTGTGCCCTCTGCCCGGGATACCTTCTCGCCCTCGCTTGGGAGGCCAGTTTGAATGTCATTCGAGGCCCAGCAGAAGCACCAGCCCACACGGAGCCCGTCCCTGAAACTGCTCTCGCCCGTCTGTCTCCCCCGGACCCCCAACGGCCTGCCAGCAGGCCGTGCGTCTTTGCTTTGGATGTGAACACCCAGCGCCATCCCATGCCAAGCCCCAGAGACAAGCAAGGCAGAACGGCCGCAAAGTACGAAGGCACACACAGAGAATGGCTCATCCGTTAGAAAACAATTGAAATGATCTGTTAGTGGGAAATCCAGTGAGTCCCTCCTCCCTGTACCCTGTGGAACACACTCACACACACATACACACACACACACACAAACACACACTCATACACACACACGCGCACACACACACGCACACACACGCACGCGTGCCACATGGATGTGGCCCAAAGGCGAGGGGATTGAAATGGCGCTCAGTTGCTCGGCTCCAGGTGTGGCGAGGAGGAAGCTGGGAAAGCAGAAGAGAAGGGGTCACAGTGGTGGGAAGGGGGGCAGCAAGTTAAGGCCTGAGAGATGGGCAGAGAGAAATTTCTGAGGCCCGGGTGCCCCAGGGACTTGAAGACGTGTTTAAACCCCTTCATACATGAGTTTCCTTACTGTTAGCCTCCAACATTCAGTAAAGCCTGTGATGGCACCACCGTCCGTCTGGGCAGTGCCCAAAGGGACAGAGGTGTGACCAGGAGCAGCAGGGAGCCGGAGCATTCAGCAGACAGAGGGGGTGGCACGGGGCAGTTTAACCCATTGGGATGTGACGGGAGCAGGTGGCCCAGAAGGCTGGGTCTTGAAAACTTGCTGATGGAGGGGACACCTCCCCCCCCACCCCCAACCCCGTCTAGTGCCACCTTCTGTGTGTGTGCACGACCCATGTGACCTCAGGACCCAGGCCCCTGTCCAAATCCCAGCTCCACCGCTCACCAGCATGAGACCTTGGGGCAAGATCCTTGCCCTCTGTGTCAGCTTTGTCTGTAGAGTGAGGACCAATAACCGCAGTGCTAGCTCCGCCGGGTTCCGAGTTTTCAGTGGGGAATGGAATAAGCTGGGTGCCCTGTCTAGCGGTGTCAGGCCCACAGGATGTTCAGTAAAAACATTAAATCCAAGTGGCCTCTCCCACAACTGTGCCCTCGATGTCAGCCCAGGGGCGGACAGAAAGCAGGCACTTGGTACAGTCTGTGTTTGAAAGACCTGATTGTCCTGGCCTCCAGACCTTAGGAGCCATGTCAGGAGGGTAGCCCAGCGCCTGCCATCCCTGTTCCACCCACAGGCACCGGCCACAGGAACGGTCCTTCCCCGTGTCCCTAGGACACACCTGGGGTCTGGTGTAAGGGGCAGGCCTGCAACCAGGGCCAGGCTGCAGGGAGATCTGCCATGAGGGGACAGCTGAGGGCTGGGTGGGCGCCCACAGCTTACAGGAGACTCTGGGTCAGGCTGGGCCGCCAGGTGCCCTGAGAACACGGGGCCTCCTACAGTGCTGAGCCTTTCCAACCCCCCAAATTCCCACTGCCATGTCAGGCAGAACGGCCACCAATTGTGTGCAGGCAGTATTTGCAGACCTTCGGCGCTTCAGACCGTCTGCTGGTGAGTTCTCAGGGGCCCCCGGACAATGAGCAAAAAGAGGGGCTCGCCCACTTGAGTCATAGGGAGCCTTGTGTCCTGTGGGAGGGAATGATCTAGAAGGAGAGTAAGGCAGAGCCTCAGGAGGGAAGATGGTGAGGGCTGACACAGTGGGAGCAGGAGGTACCGATGCTTCCTCACCAAGCCCAGTGCACAGCCCAGAGCCAGGCTACGCTTCCCAGAAGGTGACCGGAAAGGACATCGCCAGCCCAAGAAGACACGCGACCACACGGCAGCCCAGAATGACAAGTACCGTTTATTCGAGTTACACGAAGGGGCCCAGCCACAGGCTCGGCACTGTCCCAGGGGCCAGCAGAGATGAGCTCGGTCGCAGACCCCTTCCCCACCCCCGAGCCATGTCCAGTCACACATTCTAGGGCAGAAAGTCCCAGCACTGAGCACAGGGCACAGGTGCCCCTCCTTGGGCGGTGCGCCTGAGTCACATGTGTCCCCCCCTCGGAGCGGCCGACAGAGCAGCCGGAAGGCTGTCAGATTAAATAAGCAAGTACAGGAGTTCCCAGAAGCCCAGCGGGGGGGGGCCTCTGCTCCCGCAGAGGTGTGAGGGGGGCCGTCCAAGGTGTCTGCGAGGCCGGCCTTGGCTCCGGAGGGGCCTCTGTGTGGCCGTGACCTCGGGTCAAGCTGTGCTGGGAGCACTGCAGCTTCGTTAACTGCTGAGGAGATGGTGCTTTGAGCTTGGCTACGCGTAAATGTACGTCGGAACCTCTATGACCTTGGCTGAACCGACCGACCTCCAGAAGGGTATTAGTAAACAAACAAACAAAAACAAACAAAACCAGAGCGACTCTGGCCCCGGAATCCCACCCCGGGACAGCCAGGGGGCCGGGGAGGGGATGAAGGCACGGAGCCCTAAGTTTCCCAGCATCGTCGTGGTCAGAGAAAAGGGTGGGCGCATCCGCTGGCCAGCAGAGAGAAGAGACACAGGCAGCAGTGCTCACGTGACTACTTATATTACAGTTTATCACACCAGGAGAAGCTACTGTACAGGGAAAAACCCATTGGATTAAGTAGAGTTTTGCCAAAAGCAAAAGACTATCCCTCTTTGGAACATTCCGGATCCCAGCCGGGCCAGGGCCGCAGGAGCTCATTGAAGGTGAGCCTGGCCCTGGGGAGGGGCTCGGTGCCAGGTGTGCCCGGGCCGCCTCTGGTCATCTCCCAGGAGAAAGCGTTCCCAGGGATGGTGTCTAAGAAGGAGCGGGGTCGCGGGAGATCCCCGGGCCCACCACCACCTCGGACCCCGCAGTCCTCCCTGGTCCCAGCCGGAGGTTCCAGGATGCGATTCTCCCGTGGGCTCCCCACCGCGGCCGAGCTCCTGGGTACGGGCCGGCTGCTCAAAAGAAGTGACTGCCCGCGGCAGCCGAGGCCGGCCAGCCCCCAACGGGGCCGGCCAGACATCGCTACCCTGTTGCACACGTGAGTGACAAACTCAAGAGACCACACATACACTCGGCCTCTATGCCGGCTTCCAGATTTGGTTCTAGTTTTACAAAAAAAAAAAAAAAAAGTCTTCTTAACCCTGACGCTGCGTCCTGACGGTAGATTAGGGAAGCAAGATGGGGGAGTAACCAAATCAGCTTAACTTACCTCAAAAGTAATAACGTCTACTGGGCTATGAACAAAGAAACTAGAGGAAACATGTGCAAAAACAAGTTGGTATCTAAGTCAGCCCTCCCCACAAAACCAAGCGAGCTCGGAGGGAGCCCCGAACTCCTCTCCCCGCCACTCAGCCGACGCCGCCCCCAAGACGGTGGGTCTCTCCCAGTAAGTGCTACAGGAGCGCCGGCCCTCAGCCCCAGCGGGCCATCCAGGTCCACGCAGTGGGGTGCCCCCCTCGCCAGGGCTGCTCCAGGTTGGAGAAACCGAGTCAGGCGGTGAGATGCCAAGTGCTGGCTGGGGTGGAAAGGTCAGAGGCGGAAGCCCTCGTGCCCCAGGCTCCAGGCGGAAGTCAGAGAAGCAGAGGAGAGCCCCCAGCCTGCGCAGGACTCCGTGGGGAGGGGGCCGGAGGGGCTGGGAGCGTGGGGAGGTGGCCCGGTGCCCGGGAAGGCCGGCCAGCAGTTGTTCTTCACGGAAGAGGCAATCGGGGGCCTAGAGAGCGGCAGGGGGAGGGGAGGCGGCTCCTGTCAGGCGTAGAACTCCTCCTGCTTGCTGGGTTTCTGGTAGGCCCCGCCGTTGGCCTGCTTCGGCTCCTCCAAGGAGTAGCTGCCTTCGTCTTTCTTCTTCATTCGGTACAGCATGAAGCCCACCAGGCACACGGCGCAGATGAGCCCCACCAGGCCTCCGGCGATGACCCCTGGGGAGACGGACGGAGGCCAGCTCAGCGCAGCTGCTCCTGGGCTGAGTGAGCAGCCACCCCACCCCCTCCGGGCAGCCCCCACACCAAGGCTAAAGACAGCCCCGCACCCTAAAAGCAGCAGTCTGCCCTCCGTCCCACCCACCCGAGAGAAAACTCACCTCCCAGCACTTCCTTCCTGTCCAGGAGGCCCTGTGAGGCCCCGGTGGCCCCGCGACCCACTGGGGGTTCCTTCAGCTCCTCTCGTTCCTCAGGAGACCAAGTTGTGCTCTCCGTAGACACGTCGAAGGTGAAGTCCTGCGGGAGGGCAGGGACAGGATCAGGCTGGGTGGCAGCATCCAGGTCCATGTCCAAAGCCAGAAGCAGATCAGGCCTCCCCGGTCACAGCCACCACCAACTCAGACACGCCCATCCCCATCCCCAGACCTCTGGGACCTCCACGCCAGGCCCCTCCCGCCACATGGCGCTGGACTGCGGCGGAGATGTGTGCACGGATATAAAACGCGAGTTCCAATAGGAAAATAAATAGGCTCGCTCTAGTGTGAAATCACCACGCCCGACAGGACCAGCACAAGCCCTGGTAGAATGGCGCGGCACAGCAGGGGTCTTGCGAGCCTGGGGAGCCCCGGTGGCCTGGGAGGGCTCCTCTGCTCTGGCCTCATTGCTTTAGTCTGTCCCGCTCCGGGAAGGTGGGACCCCATGACCTTGTCTTCATGGTGGGGAACGGGATGTGCTCAGGGCACAGGGTGCTGGATATGCCAGTCAACCAGCCACTGTCCCCGCCCCAAGCCCTGTGCTCAACCAGTCAATAGGGGCCGCCAAGCCCACTGGGCACCCCTCGTCCCAGGAAGCACAGAGGCCCGCAGGGGCCGGCACTCACCTCCTCCCCAGAGCCCTCTCCTTTCGGGAACTGGGTGACGGTCCCAGCCTCAGCAGTCCTCTCGGTGACCCAAGGGTCTCTCTCCTCCGTGACGGCCGTGTGAGGGTCGGCCGTGTGAGGGTCGAGCGGGCCACGGCCTTCGGGGGTTGAGGTCTTATGGTGGTCAGGCTGCATGTCCCTGAGGGGATGCAAGGTGACAGGCGCCTGGGCAGTGGTGGCTCTAGTTGTCGATGCCCGGTGGGTGGTTGGGTGTGGTGTGGTCTCGCTGGGCGGGCGGGTGGTCTTTTCCCGGTTGGGAAAGCCAGGTTCCAGGTGGGCCAGGAGCACTGTGTCTTGCTCCTGGTCTCCCGCTCCAGCGGGCAGGATGGAGGTGGAGGCAGCCATGGTGTCGGCGCCGGTGGGCTCTGGAGCCGTGGGCATGACCGTCAGGAGCCCCAGGTCCTTCCAGGTGAAGGAGGTGGTCTGTGACACGGTGAAATCTTGCAGAGCGCCTGCAGGGCCCAAGCAGAGCAGGTTGGGGTTGGGGAGGCCACAGAACATCTCAACCAGCCAAGTTCAGGCGGCGAGGACCCCTGGGTGGGTCCGGTGCCCAGGCTAGCACACCCAGCTCTTCCTCCCGAGAGGAGCTCTGCCCCTGGGGCTGAGCTAGCTGAAGCGGAACCTGACTCTGGGAAATGAAAAGACCTGCCTCTCTTTGCTGCCTGTGCCTCGGATGGCCTGGTCTCGGGGCCAAGAGCCACTAAGGCCGCCTGGAAGAAACCTTCCCTGCACTGGCCACAGCCGCTCCTGGCTGGGGGTGTCCTCAGGGCTCTGGGTCCCCGTGCAGGCACCTCTCTGACCCGCTCCGTTCTCTCTGCAGAAAGGTCCAGGCTCCCACAGAGCAGAGGCCTATGTCCAACTCCCAGCCCCCAGGCCCCTGCCCAGGCCACTTCCCCCAGGGATGGGCCTCAGCTCTCTTCTGAGGTCCAGCTCCAAAGCACCTCCTCCAGGAGGCCTCCCTGACCCCCTCTAGCTCAGGGACTTCATTTCCCCAGGGAGAGAGGGAGGGGGGAGGCAGGGGAACATTTATAAAGATACACGCCCCACCAGGCTCTGCACTGCCTTACAGCTAGTTCCCAACGACCTTATGAAGTCAAGGTATTATCCCCCTTTTACAGATAAGGAAATAGGGGCTTGGAGAAGTCAAACAAGCTTCCAAAGTTTGCCCAGAGAGGAGAGTAGGGGCCCACGCCTGTCTGCAGCGGGTGGCCTCCGGGGCCTCGGGAACCCACCACAGTCCCTCCTTCTCACCAATACATGTTTTCTCCTGGCTATTCGAACCCCATCCTTCTTCCCCGGCATGTCCAATTGGGCCCAGCCAGGGGGCTGCCTGGCCACTGTCCTGGCCCACAGCCCACAGCCGTCTTGGAGCGAGGCCCTCCTGCTAGCTCACCTGCACCCGAGCCGGAGAAGTTGTCAGAGTCGTCGCCAGAGCCATCCTGATCTTCGGGGGGCACATTTGCAGCCACAATTTGCTGGAAAAGGGATCAGAAACGAGTCTGAGTGGAGGCTTGCCAGGGTGCTGGGGTTCCGGGGCCCCATCCTACTCACACACAGCAAAGGAAGGAGCCCTGGTGGGTGTCTCAGGACTCAGCGCTGGGCAGGCTGTGGCCCTCCCCCACACCTCCTAATATTGGGGTGCAGAAGCACACGAGAGGGGACCAGGCCCTCAGTCCACGAAGCTCCGTTGGGTGGAAGAGCCCAAGCCTCAGAGAGCAGACAGAAGACACTGTTCCTGGAACACGGGCTGTGGCTCCCACGGGATCCCACCAGCCCAGCCCACACTGGGAATCGGCTCTTGGGGCCACGGGCCAGGGAGCTTCGGGGTCGAAGACTGGGGCTTTCAGGGGCCCCCAGAAACAAGGACACAATGCCCTGGCTCCAGAAAGGCAGCCCCAGGCATGCTGGGGAGCAGGATACGAGCACCGAGGGCCCTGCGTAAGGGGGGGCAGGGGGCAGAGAGGGCACGGGCTGAGCTGTCTGTGCTGAGGCAGGTGTGGCCACCATGCCCCTTCCCACAGCTGACCTGATGTCCCAGCCGCAGGAAGGACTGGGTCAGGCCCTCTTGGGAATAGGTGAGGCTGATCTAGAGGGGCCCTGCACTAAGGAGGCACCTGCAATGGGCCCTGTTGCGAACAGCTGTCCAGGCATGCTGCCCGCTTGGCCGAGCTGTAGGTGTCTGGTCCTGAGGCAGGGGCCCCACAGCAGGACCAGGGAGCAGGCCGGAGGGAGGTGGGACGCTCCACACACAGCCGAGTGGGCATGTGCAGTAACGCGGCTCCAGGAGAGCAGGTGTGGAAGGGAGGGCCAGCATCCAGTTGGCAGGAAGGGTAGCCAAGTGTCCTGTTCAGCAACAAGACTTTGACCCAAACAACCCTGTCATCCAGTCTGTTCTGAAAGGACCCAGCATCAGAGCCAGAACCAAAAAGAGGCAGAGAAGCAAACCAGCACAGGTCCGGTTTAGAGAACCCTTGGCCTTTGCCACTGCTGGCGGGGTGGCCCTGGGGACATGACTAACCCTCTTACAGCCTCAGTCTCCCCATCTGTAAAATGGGGCGATAGTCACATCTCCATTCCAGGATTATTGCAGAAATCCAATGAGGCTATGCCCATGAAGAACCTCACAGAGCCTGGCCGGCAGTCGGCGCCTGCCTACAATGGGGCTGCCGGAACCCAGCTCGGGGAGGGGGCCGTGGGGCCTGTCTGGGAAGAGGTGAGATGGAGGTGGGTAGCGTTTCAGGAGAAGAGGGGGCAAGAGGGCGCCGGTTCACAGGAGGCTCTGTGCAGACTTGTCAGAAGGCAGCCACCACCGGAGGCTGGGCTCCAGGGAACCAGCCTGCTTGCCAGGTGCTGGCCACGGCCACACGGCCTCACTCCTGAGTGGAGCCGATCAGGGAGGCACAGACAAGCCGTGCGGCCTCCTGAGGCTGCCTGGGGCGGAGCTGGACCAGGTGGGGGCTTCCCATCAGGGGAAGCTTCAGACACGTGTAGAAACCGCGGGGCTAGAAATACGACTGAGCTTCCTTTGAAAGTGCAAAACCCAAACTGTCCCCCCAACCCCACCTCCCAAGAAAAGGGCTTTGGCCCCAGAAGGATCTGAGCTGTCGTGGCCCATCTACAATGAACAGCGTGCCTGACCACCCCCTGCACCCCCAACCACATCTCCCGTCTCTACTGTCCCCAATGGGGCTTCAAAAACCGGTCCCGCCTCCGCAGGGCCTGTCCCCCCAAGGCAGGTCCAGAGTGAGGACCCCCCACCCCAACAAACTCCCATCCAGGCCCAGGGCAGACTGCTCCCAACTGGGCAGCTGGGGGTGGGGACAAGCATTCAGGGGACCCACCCACCGAGACCCTGTTCCACCCTTGCCCAAGGCCTCTGCCGACCCTCAGGTTGTCCTGAGAAGGCCCTGGGATGAGCCGGTCCCCAGGCACCGACGCCGTCCCTCGGAGAGGAAGCTGGATGTGGGACAGGGCCAGGGCTCCGTCCCGACCAGCCTCCCCTCCGGTGGAGAGCCCGAGTCTTCCCGCAGAAGCTGTGGGACCAGGCCCTGGTTCAGATGTCGGAACTAGGCCTGCAGAGAACTCCACACACTGGCATCTACCCTGCCAGCCTCGGAGGCACCACCCGAGACCCAGGCAAATGCCAGGGAGGCGAGCCTCTCACCTACACAGAGAAGCCGCAACAGGTTAGCGATTTCCCAACAGGGCCGCTCACGACTAGATAAGACTTCGGATCTGCCCCATCCCTGAAAACAATTTGTCTCCTCAGCTCTGCTGGCTTATCCCTCGGGGATCTTGTTTACACAACAAGCTCTTGAGCAAACACTTTCTCCACTGAAACCAGCTCCCAGGCCCCAGGGCAGACTCTCCCTGCAGGGCAGGGTCTCCCATCGGGGAAGGGCTCCGTGGCCTCCTCAGTCCCCTGCACCTGAGGCCGCCTCCTAGGATGGCCTCAGCTCCCCGGGGAGAAAATCGGCAGAAACTGCCGAGCTTAAACTTGGATCGCCAGCTGCCAGCTGACTGGAGCTTGTGGTGAGACTCTGGTTTCACTCAGCAGTCCTCTGGGCTAAGCACGTGTGGCCTCCTGGGGGGCCCTGCCTCTGACGCTGGTCCTCCCAAGAGACCCCTTGGCCGGGCCTTGGGGCTGCTCCGGGACAGGCTGGAACCTAACTGGGACGGGAAGAAAGGCAAGCCAGCTCGTCCCTTTCAGGGGGCCCTTGCACATCTCTAAATCCCAGGAAATCCAGCTTTTCATACAAAAATCAAAACCCTTGTGGTCAATCAAGGTCGGAGCCGCCACATCCTCAGTTTGCTCAAAGCCTGGACCGGTTTGCTCCTTCCCCATCCTCAGCACAGACCCTTGGAGGCCCACCCGCCTGGCAGGGCGAGGCCAGGGTTGGCTGCGGTGGGGCTGGGGGTCGTGGGGCAGAGGCTTGGAGACAGGAAAGGGTCTGAAAGCAGGCCGTGTCCGACGCTGCAGTCTCCGAGCACCTGCCCTCCGCACCTGCCACCTCTGCCCCTCCCCACCCCCCAGGGAGCACCTGCCTGGCTGGCCCATCTGTTTTAACAGTAACTTGCCTGAGCTTTTCAACACGGCCATTGGCTCCAGAGAGGGTCATTGAGCAAGAATCCCTGCCCCTGCCCCAGAGGCAGGGGGGACAAAGGTGCCAGCCGAAATGCCAGAGGTGGAGAGGGAAGGCGTGGACAAGCACGGGGTCAGGGCTGCCAGGGGCGGAGTCCTCATCACTCAGCTGCCAGCCGCTCCCAAGAGCCAGTCGAGAGTCTGTGGCTAGAAGACTGGCAAAGAAGCCTCGAGAAGCAGCTGCAAGCCAAGTCCTGGCAGCCCTCACCCACACCAGCCAGAGAGGGCCGCCCTCCCGGGGGACCTCCGTCCCAGGGGAGCCCTTCCCGGGCCAGCCAAGGGGACTGTGGCTGGGCTCCCCGCCAGAGCACCTTGGGCATGACGGCTCCTTGGCGGGGTCACAAGGCAGGGCACCAAGTAGGCATCTCAGAGGTTCAAGTAAGGCGCTTCTAACTCTGGGGTGACCGCTCCCCGAGCCCCACACCACCCTATCAACTGCAGCCACCGGGTCGGTCCCTAGCCCTGTGGTTTCTACCGGAACCCTGAGTCACGACCGTGTCACCTGCTGCTTGACTCCGTGATGGGTAAACCACAGACCCTTTAAAAAGCACCACCGAGTCCATACGACCCTGTTGCTTTCCAGCCTCAGGACGCTGTGTGAGGAGGTCAGGCTTTGATATGTAACAGGCCCTGGGAGCATCACCCCGGGGCTTTGGGGAGAAAGGCGGGTGAGAGATGGCCGGGTCCTGGTGACCTCCCGGGGCCCAGCGCCAGGCACCCCACTCCAGGAGGCTTCCGGAAAAGGGGTCCACGGAGGCTGAGGCACAGAGAGCCACCCTACAGGGGACGCCAGGGCCAGGCCTCGAAACCCCCAGGCAGGCTGGCGAGGATCAGACCCGCTCAGCTTGAGTCACGAACAGAGCCAGCGCCAGGGCTCAGGTGCGCGGCAGCACCCGTGGAAGAGGGCTCAGGGGTCTGCTGGCCACGGCCGCCCTCACCGTGGAGCTGGGGGGCACGGACCCCTATCCCCAGCAGGAAACTAAGAAGCCTCGGTCCTGATGGGAGGCTGGGCCTCCATCCTGCTCTTCCTCCTCCTCCTCCTCCTCACCTCTCTTCTCCCCTCTCCCCCCTCAGGTGTTCCAGGCAGCGAACAGGGCTGGGAAGGGGAGCGAGGGCCTCTGGACAGGACCAGAGCCAGGGCTGCCAGCGGGGAAAGGGCCCTCACCAGGCGGCTGCCCCTGGCTGAGCTCCAGCTCTCTGCTCCCACTGGGTGACCCCAGCGGCTCTCTCCCTCGCTTTGGGCTTTGGCTGGAAAACCCTAAACTGCCCTAGGGCTCTGACAGGCTGGCGCCTGGGGGCCTGGGAGCAGAGGCCCCGGTTCCTGTCTTTGAGGCCAGAGAGCTGTGGTGTGGACAAACAGGCCTAGGGCTCAGGACGTCCCGGTGGGAGTGCGTCTATCACTTCCTCTCCCAAGGCTGCTTTCCTGACTTGGGAGCTGCTGAGGCCACTGAGGAGGCACAGAGGTCCGGCGGTGGCCTCCAGACTCTCAAATCTGCCCCCTGCCCACACTCCCAGGAGGGAGGGCCCCCCGTGCCTCAGGGCAGCACCAGCATTTCCGGCCTGACCGGCAGTTATTTATCAGCCCGGTGTCTCTCCACCAGAACCAAGTCAAGCTGGGGCCTGCTCAGGGGGTGATGGGACTGGCCGGGTGGGAGGGGCCTGGGGAGCAGGCAGGCCCCCACTTCACCCTGAGAATGTGCTTCCTTAGGGCCCCCTACCCCCCCGAGCACTTCCATGGGAGGAATGTCTCACAGGGGACCTCCTGGGCACCCAACCCTCCCCCCCACACACACACACAACCCCACCTCCACGGTCCCCGCACGGCCACCTGGA